TTAGCCATTAATTCTTAGCAAATTTACTACAGCTCATTATTTTACTACTGAATTTGTGACTAAACTGAGCTTGAGAGGCAAATTTTCCGGTTTATCTGAAATCCCTTGAGCCGATTCTTTAAACTTTTCCACCTTTGTCGTGTTTCTCAAAAAAAAACAAAACTTTTCAAAATGTTCCTAGTGCCTAGATATTTCCCCGAATATATTTTCGAAAAATAAGGCTAAAACATTTTTTGAAGTGCCCCTAGGGCTTTGATTTCATTGCTAGATTCAATTTTTTTCAAAGTTACTCTCAAAACGGTCAAAACAAAAGATTTTTCAATTCTGATTTAACAGGCTAAAAATTACCGTATTAATTCTTAATAGTAGTGCACCCCGGCGAGCCGAGTTGGTGACGATTTTGGCGGTTTCCAAGCTCTTGCAGAAGCTCAACACTCAAATCCCCCTACAAGATCTCATCCGTCAGCTACATTTTCCGACCCCATATCGATAGGTTCTGATAAGCGGTTCTCGAGATTTCGAGGAATTTCGGCGAAGCTTTAAAATACATTACTATTAGAGGGAAGACGGTATATTATTCCAGGTTAAGCTAGTAGATCAGACTGATCTTTCCCCTTACTATTTCCCGGTGAGCCGAGTTGATCACTATTTTACGGTTTCCAAGTTTTCCCAGAAATCCAACACTCAAATCCCCCACTAGATCTGATCGTCAGCTACATTTTCCGACCCCACATCGATAGGTTCTGATAAGCGGTCCTCGAGATTTCGAGGAATTTAGGCAAAAGCTTTGGGTACACTACTATTAGAGAAAATACGGTATATATTGTTCTAAAAGTCGATGATAGTCGATTATATATTGTTCTAAAAAATCAGAATCAAAATTCCCAGTAGAACTTGAGTTATGAAGTGAACGAACAAACACACACACAAACTTTGCGTCTTATAATAAGATTCTTATCAAAAAATAGGGAGTGGGACAGCCCTTTTTGCCACCCGGACATTTGTGCACCCTTTTCCGCACTTAGCCATTAGCTCCCTTTTCCGCGTTTTAAAAGCCCCTAAAAGCTTTTATTAACCAATTTCTGATTCCAAATGTTAGTTTTTCTAGGTAATTTGAGGGTGTCGGATTTAAATTTTGACATATCAGAGCGTGTGGAACCAATTTGAAAGACAAAAACGGCTAGATCAAATTACAGAAAATTGTCGATTTTTCTCTCTTTGTATAACTCCGTCCGTTTGTTTCCACAAGCTCTGATATGTCAAAATTTCGATTCTACGCCCTCAAATTACCTAAGAAGAAAACAACATTTGGAATAGGAAATTGGTTAATATTAGCTTTTAGAGCTTTTTTAAAACGCGAAAAAGGAGCGCCACGTGGGCAAGTGCTGAAAAAAAGGTGCGCAAATGTCCTGCGCAAGGAAAAGGTCGCATTTGTCCCACCCCAAAAAATAAGCAAAAACTTCTAATTTAAAAAGATTCCCTGAAATCACCTCAAATCATTAAACTTTTAAAATAACTAGAAGCAATGGAAATGGAAAAGAATCAGGCTCTAATCTAATCAGCCTTCATAACTGTCCAGTAGACAAAAATTTGAACCAAATTTAAGGGAAAGATTTTACAGAAAATGAACAAAAAGTTCCCAGACAAATGTCTCAAAATCTTCTCAACCGGGAAAAAAACGTTGTTTCTTAAAACTGAGAAAAGCCGTCTCTTCTTTTCTCAAAAAAAAAAATTCAAAAATTTTTGCCCCAATGGGAATTCATGGGAAGGAAGAAGACTTTGAAGCCATAAAAACAACAAAATTTTGAAGTGGATTAGATATTTTTGATTTTGAATTTAATCAGAAACTCACCCGGACTCGATCTTTTCGCTCGGTTTGACTCGGAATCGCTTCATTGGCGCGAGTAGGTGGGACTCGCTCTTCGAAAATCGGTGTCACCAACTCCTCATCGCAACACTGAGATTCGATTTTATTCAGTAATATTGAATACTAAGCAAAAAATATTACAGTATAAATTGTCTACCTTGAGAACGAGAAGACTTCGTGGACTTGTTGGACTCGCCGGAACTTCTGAATCCTCGTGAGTTCCCAAATCGATCACCGTCTCACAATCGCTCTCATTTGAGATCTAAAGAAGTTCAGCAATGAAAAAGTAAACCATTTAACAGAAAATTATTCTATTCAATAATAAAAATTGTTCTTTATCAATACTTAGATGCCTAGAAGTGTCTAGAAGTGTCCAGGACTGTCTAGGAAGTGTCTCAGGAAGTGTCTAGATATCTAACAATAAGATCAACAACAAAATTCTAAGGGAGGATGGAGCTTGAAACTGTTTTATAGCTTAATAACTATGAAAAAACTCTAGATTATTTATGAGACTGTTATGAAGAAACTATTGGCTAAATGAATAACCAAAATGAGCTGCAAGGTGCCATTCCTTACTTTCCACAAAAAGTAAGGAATGGCAAAGAAAGATTCCGGAAAGGGGATTGAACCCTCACCTTTTTACTTTCCGGGCAACCTTTAACCACTAAGCTTTTTCTTCTTGCCAAAGAAGGAAGAGAAAAGAAGAAAGAGAAAGGAAGAAAGAGAAGGAAAAGTTCTTTTTTACAAAGCACAATGAGAACGTACACTGCTCCAATAGGGAGTCACTCCCGCTCGTCTCCCCATCAGCCTCATTAGGGTTTTTCATTGCTATCTAAATTTACATTAATATATAAACTGCAAAGTAATACATTCTCTTAGCAGACAAAAAAAAAGGGGAAACAAAAAAGAAAGTGACCCAGCCAACCTCACCCCAAACCCCAAAAAATGGGCTATGATTGGATCGAGTTGAGAAAAGGAAAGGCCCGGGTTCTTGCCCTCTAGCTGAAAAAAAAAGACGAAAAAATGTTATCCATTTAGAAGATCTTTTGCCTTTCTTTCTTTTGCATTTCTTTTTTCAAAGCCCAAAAGAAAAGCGCAAATTTTGACATTAAAATGGGTAATATACAGAAATCGATGGCATAATATGTCTTTTTACAATTATTCAGTTTAATATTGCAGATGAGGGAACAATAAAGTATATTTATTCGACACGAATAATGGAATTACAACACAACGGAGGAAATTTTGATCCCTAATTACCCCTATTACCCAAATGTTGTTGTAGAAAATGTCGAAGAAAAAGCGCTTGATGTTTCACTTTTTTAAAAGTCTATTTATTCGACACGAATAATGAATGTCAAAACAACGGAATGTCAAAACAGCGGAATGTCAACACAACGGAATGTCAAAACAACGGAATGACAACACAACGGAATGCCAACACAACGGAATGTCAAAACAACGGAATGTCAAAACAACGGAATGTCAAAACAACGGAATGACAACACAACGGAATGCCAACACAACGGAATGTCAACACAACGGAATGTCAAAACAACGGAATGACAACACAACGGAATGTCAAAACAACGGAATGACAACACAACGGAATGACAACACAACACAAATTCTTACCCCTAATCACCCTCTTTACTCAAATGTTGTTAAGAAAAGATCCATAATAATGGGAAAAGAATCAATTTTTCTAGCCGCTGGGATCGAACCTTTGACCCCAACCGGGTAGAGAAAAGACTCTATCTGGTCGGCTACGACGGCTACAATGAGCAGTCGATGAGCTTAAAAAGCTTTTATTTCAATTTGTACAAGCTTTTGTACTATTTTATTGCCTTTATTAAGCGTCAGATAGGAATTTGGTAGATAATAGATTTCCACAGAAGGCTGAACAGAAGACTGAACATCACAGAAGAGCGTCGAGTGGAGTGCCATCGGAAAGAAGAAAGAAAACAGAAAGAAAACAGAAAACACCAAAAGAAAACAGAAAGAAAACACCTCATCCAAGTATGCCAAAATTTTGCAAAGTACCTAAGTAGAGTATGTAAAGTGTTCAAAAAAAAATGATATTATTGCTTGAAATTCTTATCAGGAAGAGAAATACGATGTTTAAATTGAATATTAGTCTTAAAGTTCTACAACTTTTTACAGAAATATTACTCTAAATTATGCGAATTAGCAAAAATTTACACTAATAATGTGGAAAATACGAATAATTACATATTTAATGTATTTTCCGTCATTTATCTTCACATTTAGGGAGGCGGATTGATCAATTTGACTCGACTTGCCGCAAACCAGCCCGGACGTCGTGCTCGTGTACCATTTTGAAGAGTCACCACCGTTCCCATCATGAGCCTTGACTTGTGTTTCGATCTTACAGAGAAAGTGGAAGAGATTTAGACACAATAAAGTACAATATAAGCTAGAGATAAACTAGAGATTATGATACTAAAGAAATATCAGAAATCTAATCTATAGATTTTTGCATAAATGTCTTCTAAAGTTCTAAAAAAAAAAGTGCTTGTTTTTATTTTGATATCTTTTTAAAACAGCTACCTCAATTTATCGCTTCCATACAAAACTCTACAAAGCACCCAAAAACTACCCATTTCATCTTCATCTTTCACAAAGCCTTCTTTCGTTAAAGTCCACCATTCATTGTTTATCTCATCCGATCCAATGTCCTGTGTTTTCTTGTTTGCGCGCAAAAGAGGCGATCAAAAAGAGAATTGTCTGGATGAGATCTCTACTCTCTTCCAACAGTGAAGAGCTCTTCCTCGCAAAAGCCGAACAACCCTTACAACAAGCAATACACGTAGGTGAGAAGAGAGCAAAAAAGTTGATGAGGTGGTCATTCTGTTTTCTTTGTTCTTTCCGATGGCACCCCAACTCGACGCTCTTCTGTGATGTTCAGTCTTCTGTTCAGCCTTCTGTTCATCCTTCTGTTCAGCTCTTTTCTTCATCATCTTTTCACAATGGCACCCATCATGCATGCTTTTTTCAACGTTGTTCCTTTGTTCATCCTCGAAAATCTAGGATTTAAGCCCTTTGCCTTTCCCTGGAAATCATTATTTAGACATTGGTGGATAGATTTTTATTTTCAAAGGATTTTAGCGAAATGAGGTAAGTATCTAAGTGTTGTACAAGAGCTTCTTTAAGTAATTCGTTTTCTAAAAAGTAACCCTTTTTCTTTTACTGTAACCTTGCTCATTTTATTGAGATGTCCACTCTCTTCCAACAATGAAGAGCTCTTCCAACAATGCTCAATCTACTTTTTTTAATATCTTTTGGTATTCTTTGTGAATCAAAAGTGAATAAATTAGGAGAAAAGATAACGATAGTTTTCAAAAAACGTAGAAAATGGCATCTAGGACTTGCTAGACTTGCTAGAACATCTAGGCTTGCTAGACTTGCTAGAACATTGTTTAAGCTCAACTTTTACCAACGAATTTTGAGTCGCTCCTGTTTCCTATCGAATTCTCATTTTCACGTTAACGATTTCTCTTCAGAGTTTCCATTTTCCTTATCTGGCATTTGGCCACTGCACTACCATCATCATCAATCGACAGTGCTCCAAAATTTCGTGAGTTCACACTTTTCTCCTTAGGAATACACAAAAAGATATTGTTTTCGTTCGTTGCTTTATTTTTCTCTACCTAGATAATCTAATAGTTTTCAGTCTAATTGCCGATAAGTGTACAACAAAAAAAAGACGATATTTGCTCACTTTAACGGCTACCGTTTTTTTTAAACCAAAAGATAAATCTTGAAAAAGTCTACCTTCTTGTAGCAAGAAATCCTGAAAAGTAGTTGTTGAAGTGGTCAAATTTTGGGAGCTAAACTGAAAATGAGCAGCTCTAGTTTTCAGTGTCCCACCCTTCAGTGATTAAATCTGTTAATGGGCAAGTGATCGATCAAATTGGTCGCTACGTCGTCAATGCATCGCCACCGATTCAAGTGTGCCATTGGATTCGTTTGCGAAATTCATTTTTAGAAAATCTTTAGCTGAGATTCAACGAAACGAGTTGGGATCAAGCTGTTGAAAGTAAGCTTTCGGAAATTAACCTACCTTTTTCCTTTCTTCAGATTCCAATTTTCGCTTCCCATTCGCTTTCAAGTTTAACTCCGTTCCTGCGGCTGCAGGTGAGAGGGATATCTGAAACCATCCGGAGAGATCGGTTAGAGGCGTGGCGCAGTCGGGAGAGAACTCCCTGACGCCCACACGATCCGGGTTCGATCCCCACAGGGCACCGAATGTTGACTTTTTTAGATTTTTGATTTTAAATGACACAACTACAATTTATTCTAGGTTTTCTAAAGAAATTTTAGCTTTATTGGTCAAAAAGACGGCTAGAAAGTACCCGTACATACAGACAGATAGATAGAGACAGATAGATAGAGACAGATAGACAGACAGACAGACAGACAGACAGACAGACAGACAGACAGACAGACAGAGACAGACGCTGCTCTTTTATAGCTAGTAGATTCCTTATATAGGACCTTCAATAATTACAAAACTGTTCAGTCCCTGGCCCGATCCCAGCCACATTTGCCCGCCCACCACCACCCGTGATCTCTTTTCTGCCGGCACCATCAGCGAGACTCAACTCTTTCAACTCATCTCCGATCAAAGTCGCTCCTTCACCCACATTCCCTTCACTTTCCCTCCCCGGCCCACTTCCACCCCGTTCTGCACCACTTTCAAGTTTCCCCATTCCATCATCCGTTCTCACACCGCCACTTATCAACCCCGGTCCATTGCCTGTTGTTGTCCCGTTTCTATCGAAGCCCCTTTCCTCCAACCACAAGCCGTTTCCGTGCCTATCACTGGCCATCCGCCAGCCAGAGTGATCCCCGCTTTACCACCTGTCATTGCTACCGGAAGTGTGCCTATCATTTCACCAAATGTTCCTTCTATTCCCCTTCTGCCACCACCCCGCCGCCCAATGATGCCCCTTGTACCTCATAGACCTATTGCACCAGCATCGATCCCTTTTCCAGCACCTTTCCCTGCTCCTGCACCACTTCCACCCACTCCTTTTGCACCAGCACCCATGCGACCTTTACTACCCAGCCTTCCAAACCCGATTCCCATTGTAACAAGACCAGCCATGGTCTTCGCCAAACCACCACCCTATTTGGCACCCGTACTTCCGCCAGCTATGGTCCCTGTGGCCGCATCAGGTCCAGGTACCTTTTACCCCCATGCTACCAAAAGCTTCTCCATCCCAAATCTTCCAAATCCATCTGTCAATCGCTTCTCCAAACTCTCCACCAATTCTTCACCGAAAATCTCTTTACCCGAGTTTTCTTTCCTTTACCCAAACCAGCACAATCCTTTAGCATTTACAAAGCTCCCCTATTACACTCAGAATATTGACTTTGAGAAAATCTCCGAGATTTTCCCCGCAATCTTGCCCCAAGTCATTCAATACGAGCCCTCGTTGAAATTGTTGTTGAAAGATTTGAGAGAAACGAAAGATGTGAAAGATGAGTATTGATAGGGTTTTGAGTTTCGATTGAACTCGCTAGGAAATGCCAAATTGGCTGAGCTACACTACTGGACAAAGAAATATCATATTCGAAAAAAGAGATCGTCACTTTCGCCCGTCTGTAACTCCCTTGTCTTTACCGTATTTCTAAATATTAATATTACCATTGTGTATCCCTTGAAAAGAGCTTTCAGAAAATGTATAACACTAATAGTTTAAGCTCAAAGACAATGGAGTTACAGATGCGCGAAAGTGACGATCTCTTTTTTCGAATATGATATTTCATTGTTCAGTACTGTATGTCACGTTGATTTCCTTAATATCTAGCCACTCAAAATCTATTCAAAAGCATTTTATTTGAGAAATTTTAGCCGCTCAATTCTAGCATCTTTCTTTATTGCCGAATACGGGTTATTCTCAATTTTTTTTTCATTTGTTTTTCTTTCAAATTGATAAATTCTTTAAAAAAAAAAACACGAAAAATGTTTATTTGTCTAATACACATACAACAACTCGAGCTAATTCTTGAGAAATCCAACTTTTAAAGAAGAAAACAAAACAAATTTCTGAGATCATCACCGTCGGTTTTGTTTTTTTTTTTTTGAGAAATACACGTTGTATCGATTCTTTTTTGTTGAAAAATGATGTTTGAAACTTTTTTTTAGTTGAAAAATCCGGTTTCTTGGAGTTTTTGGACGAAAAATCGAAAGTCGGACGCCTGAAAAATGAATTATTCAATTGGGAAAGCAATAAATGTGCCACCTCCTCTTGCATCAGCACCCATGCGACCTTTACTACCCAGCCTTCCAAACCCGATTCCCATTGTAACAAGACCAGCCGTGGTCTTCGCCAAACCACCACCCTCGATTAGGAAAGCAATAAATGTGCTGGTTCATTTGCAAAAATTCGATTCAAACTTTAGTTCAACTTTTAGCTTACAGCTTTTTTGCATTTTGCCGATTTTTCGTCATAATTATGCGCATCTAAAGCTTCTAAAGCTTTTTAAAACTTGAATCCAGAAAGAATTATGAACAGAGTATTTGAAAATGCCAAGAAAGGAGCTCACTATCAGTGTCAGGAGCTTAGCACTGACTCACGAACCTCGTTAGCGGTGAGCTCTTCGGGTGTTCCGTTCAAGATTCCCTCAAAGACTCCGATCATTCCCTGCTCCTCTTGTGGGTTAAAGGCGAACTCTTTCGCGAACACGTCAGCTGTTGGTGATTCTGTAATTGGAAATGATGTAAATGAGGGTTTCTGGATACGGCTCAAAACTTACGACTCAACGAAACGGCCACTTTGTCCACGCCGCCCATTCCGGCGAGCTCGTTTCTCGCTTTCTCACCGAATACCTGAAAATAGAAATAGAATTCATTGAATTGTAGAGTTGTAGAATTGTAGAATTGTAGAATTGTATTGTAGAATTGTAGAATTGTATTGTAGAATTGTAGAATTGTACTCGATTGTTCTATTGTTCTATTCTACTATTGTAGATTTGTAGAATTGTATTGTAGATTTGTAGAATTGTGTTTTAGATTTGTAGAATTGTATTGTAGATTTGTAGAATTGTACTCGATTGTTCTATTGTTCTATTCTACTATTGTAGAATTGTAGAATTGTATTGTAGATTTGTAGAATTGCATTCTCTTGTTCTATTGATCTATTCTACTATTGTAGAATTGTAGAATTGTATTGTAGATTTGTAGAATTGCATTCTCTTGTTCTATTGATCTATTCTACTATTGTAGAATTGTAGAATTGTATTGTAGATTTGTAGAATTGCATTCTCCTTGTTCTATTGATCTATTCTACTATTGTAGAATTGTAGAATTGTATTGTAGATTTGTAGAATTGCATTCTCTTGTTCTATCGATCTATTCTACTATTGTAGAATTGTAGAATTACATTCTATTGTTCTATTGTTCTATTCTACTATTGTAGAATCGTTATCTCAATGAATGCTGTCTCACCTTGACAAGGAAATCTTTTCCATGTGCATGCATAAGGGTTTTCAAGAAGAGAGCCGTTTCCTCAACGGGAGGTCGGGTTGCTGAAAAGTTTCGATTGCAATTTACACCAGAAACGATTTCTTTCCATTTTTTGACACTAACTTTAGGCTGGCTTTGCTTTAGAAACTCAATGTTCTGTGAAAGAGACGTTCAAAATGTTAAAAATTCAAATTCCTCTACCGGCTGTGCACATGCTCTTGTTCTCGTCGTACTCATCAGAACAATCGGGCGATCCGTCACAGAGATATTTGATCGGCACGCACTCACCACTCGGACACTCGAACGGATGCCACGTGGGACACGGCGCTGAATAATTTCTTTAATAATCTTTAATTTCTTTAATTATTTCGCTTTTATAAAGCTACACTTTTCTATAGATTTCTAAACGAAAACTACTCTTAAATACGCAAAAAAATTTGCAGATCATTTGCTCATTGAAGATCATTTGCTTCAGCTAGCAAAGCATCTAAAGTTGAACAAAATTTGCTCCTCAATAGAGCACGTATTTGACACTAAAAAGTCTCAAAAACAAATATCTCTTTTAACTTTTCAGTATCTCATTAGATTTTACGGTATTGTCCCCGATCTCTCAGCCGATTTTTTTTCGTAACTCACATTTTGAATTGTGAAAGTGAAAAAAAAGCAATTTCTGAAGTTCTTGATAGAATTACAAAATTCTTGGCCTCTTTTGATAAAAAGAACAAAAGTCAAATGAAAATGTTGTGTGTTTGAGCTAGATACTGCTAGATACTCAAAAGACACTCAAAATTATACTCAAAATATCTAGCTAGATATTCAAAATGTTTGAGCTTAGATACTGATAAGTTTTAAGCCCAAGAAGCCCAAGAAGAGCGAAGAATTTGAAGTAAAGAAATAAAGAAAGAAAGAAAGAAAGAAAGAGAGAGAAAGAAAGAAAGAAAGAAAGAAAGAAAGAAAGAAAGAAAGAAAGAAAACAATGAAAAGTGATGAGTAAACAGAGTGAAACACAGAAATTTGTGTACTTTAGATGAAAGAGGGAAATTGTTGCCATCTCTTCAATCGAATCTACTTAAATTATCTTGAATTTTGTCTTGAAACAAACAAATCACTTTCCTAGAATAGATACCTTGAATTTTAAGTAATACACATAAAAAGCAATACTGAATTTTCAAACCAAAACCCCCAAACAAATTTGGCGAGTTTGCCCTTTTGAAAATCTTTTTTTCAGTTGCCCCGAATCGTTTCGGCAAATGACATCATTGGATTCTAAATGAAATTCTGACTTGTTAATGTGCCATTTGTCCCATTAACCATCAAAATCATCGAGCATTTAAGCTTCAAAGTTGAAATCACAGTATTTACTGTGAGTGACGGTGACTATGGCTTTAGGAGCCCATAACTTTCTCTCCAATTGATCAATTTGAATGACATTTGGTATAAAAAGTCATCTTTGATGCAGCTGGTGGTGGGAAAGAAAGAAAGACTTGTTAGTAAAGAAGTAAAGAAGTAAAGAACTGTTTTAGTAAAGAAGTAAAGAACTGTTTTAGTAAAGAAGTTTTGAGTGAAAACTTGCAAGTTTTTTGAGTGCAATTGATAGGTTTTGTAAAGGTTTTCTTTGTTTGAACTTATTCTAAACACAATAAAGTTTCCTTTATTTGTGATAACAGATTCTATTCTATTGGGTTGTCCAGTTATGAATGCGCGTTTTTTTTTACTATTTTGTAAATTTAAGCTATCAAGAATCAAGGTACCGCAATCAAGAAAAAGATTTTTATGAGTATTATTCGAAAGCTGAAGATCTCCTCTACATTTTGATATAAAAAGTTTTTGAATTTGTTCAGCTTTTGGGCAAATCGACTGCACAGAAGAAGAGGTGGCCAAAAAAAAAAATGGAAGGGTGCCTTTGGATCAAGTTTTGGTTCCGCTCAAATTGAGTTAACCGTTTGATGTTTGGCCAATAGATATATAACAATAGATATTTTTAAATATAACAATTTCAGAGCATCTTTACTTTACTTTTCTTTTCTAAGCCGTTATTTTACACCATAAAACTTGAGGAATAGCTAAGCTGGAAAGGATTTTTTTTTTGCGAAAATGACCTCTCCCTTTGTGCAGTCAATTTCCCCAAAAAGTTGAATGAAATCAAAAAACTTTTTTTATTCCAAAATGTAGAGGAGATCTTTAGCTTTCGAATGATATATAACACTCATATAAATCTGTTTAATATCTTGACATGTTTGATATCTTGACATTACAAATTTACAATAATAAAAAACGCGCATTTATAAATGGACAACTCAATATTTAAATTCTATAATCTAATGTTCAAATTAACTACTTGAATTTGTTCTAACTTCATCACAAAGGATACCACGATTTTTCTTCACTTCCCATAGCTTTTACTCTTGAACAAACTTTGAACGTGCCCTTTATTGCATTGCATTGAAATTGCCATTTCATCCACTTATTCCCGAAAAAAAGTTGATCTCAAGTTTATTGGAGATTAAGGGGAAAAAAGGAGAAGAGCTTTTCTTTCCCAAAAAAACTAATGCAATTATATAAAAAAAGGGGACACTTCTCCCCTTTCCCCATCCCATTACATCACTTCCCTCACTTCCCTCACTTCCCTCACTTCCCTCACTTCCTCCCTCACTTCCCTCACTTCCCTCACTTCCCTTTCCCCCCTTTTCTCTTCCCCAATTTTCTCACTTTATTCCCCTCTCCATTTTATTCAAACAATTATGCAATTTGCCTATACTTTCACCGCAATCTTTCGAGAAATATCCCATGATTTTTGAGCCAAAATGTATTCAAAATGTAATCAATTTTCAATCTAAGCAACTACAATTTGTCATGTAAATTCTCATGAAATCTTTCCGAAATCTTTCCGATAACTAAAGAAAATGTTTTACAGCTGAATTTCGACTTTAACGCTAAGTTAACTTGTTTGCACAAGTTTTAAAAGACAAAATTCTCACAGATCTTCTTTATAAATTCAAATTCGATTATCTCGAAAACGTT